GCTTCATAATTAACATTGATGCGAATAACCTTTACGGGGGAATTATGGAGAATTATCCCGTTCCACTAAAAGTTTTGTGATAGTTGAAAACCTTTTGCTATAATTACTGATGACTAGCCGGAGATTTTTCCATCGCTCCTACGAAGGAAGTAGTTACAATGGATATGCTCAGCACGAATCAAATCGAAATGCTTGCCCGACTGAACGTTAAAACACTTCCCAAAATATCAAAGCTGATGCAGACCCTTAACCCGAAGCACAACTTTGTTCTCCACTACTTGACCCTCATTCTATATGTTCAGCTTGGCATAGAAGTCAAACAAATTCATCTAGTGCCACAATTTAAGCAAGCAAAATGGTCGGCTTCTTTTCTTCAGCTCAATACCGAACTCAGAAAAATCCAGTAAACAAGTTCCAGCAGGACTTTCACAAAAACCAAGTGAACTCATTCGGAAAAATATGGTATCCATGCTAAAAAGTAAGAAAATTAAAAGTGTAACAACCTCAAAGGAGCTTCCAGAAAAAACATCTAAGCGCAAATTGAAATCGTTGCAATATGAATTCGTGCTAATTTGATCCAAATAATCTATGATATAATTGCCACAAACGATATCAGTTTCAAGCGTGAAATGGACTAAGCCAAGCATGGTGGGCGCAGTAATTTTGGACCTCACAAAGAAGTATATGCTCGAGTTTCATTCACAAAAACGAAACCAAACCTCGAAGTAGAATTACTATACAGCGACACCGATATTTTTTATATGCCGTGAAAACCGACGACATATATGAAGATTTCAAATTTTCTCAACCAGACTTCGATTTTTCCTACTACCCCTCTACTACCCGCTCTTTTGTGAGAAAAACAAAAAAGTCGTTTTGAAAATGAAAGACGAGATGGTAGGGAAAATTGTGGAGGAAATTGTCGCCCTGGAGCTAAAATTCTACGCCATACTGGACAAGAGTGAGTCGATTGCTTGTTAAGTATAAAATTTTCTTGTCTAGTTCTCGTTTTTTTTTAATAAAAAAGATTTATTTTTTTAAGCTCTCCAAAAAACACCCGAATACTTTGGTTAGCCAATATAATATTTCAATACTCAATACTGGACAAGGTTGAGTTGATTGTTTTTTGTTTTTGTTTCTTGTCTAGTTCCCGCTTTGAAAGATTTGTTTATAAAGCTCCCGCAAAAAAACACCAGAATGATTTGAGTAACCACTATTAATAATAGCTGTCTTGTTTAGATCTGAATCAAAAAGTTTCAGCAAAAGGAATTACAAAGTTCTCGCAAAGAAAACTATATCATGCCCGAATCAATGAAGGCCTGTTTGATAAAAAGACGCTGCGTTTGAACAATTATACGATAAAAGCGAAAAAACATGAGACACAGACTGTTATAACTAACACAATTGCACTCTCACCTTTCGATGGGAATCGCTTTCTGCTCTTCGATGCAGTCTCAACTCTTCCTTTTGGTCAATTCAAGATTTCCGAAGATAAATGATTCTTTGAGGTTATAGATAACTTTTTAAAGTAAACTGAAAGTGAAATAAGCACTCAATCTTCCTTTTCGTCAATTGAAAAAAGCATGCTCGATTTTGTAATACCGGATCAAGGCTTTAACCAGCCTCAGTACAATTCCGAAGAATTGAGGCATGTACGTCAAATGATTTTCGAGGACAGCGCGCAAAGAACCCTTTTATAATATCTGAAGCTACTGAAAGTATAACAGTTGAAGAAAGTGACTCTAGTGATATGAATTCGTCCCCGGAAATAGTGTGCAAACGAAGAAAACTTTCAAATAAAAAGCCTGATTACCAATGCTAAACTGTTTGGCTACTTTTAAATTAAGCTGTTTTGCATTTTATAAAATTGTTTTTACTGCAAAAATCGCTTATGTGGTTAACTTCTTTCTTTAACAGCTACGCTGAAATGTTTATACTAACGTGATTTAAAAACAATCAGAGGATATTCACTCTAACATTTATATGCCAATTGAAATTTCTACTACTACCTTTTTACTTTATATCACAACAGCATTGTTTTTTTTATAGAATAATCTTTTCTTAACACTTAGGATATGATACATGTGGTTGTATTTTCCTATTTGGAGTGCCCCTGTGGTTTGAAAATTTGTTTGGAGCCCCTATGTGGTTTTGTAATTAGGGCCTGGAGCACCGATAAATTGTGTCTGGAGCGGCTATGTGGTTTTGGGATTAGGCTCTGGAGCAGCCCTGTGTAGGTACCCCCCCCCCCCTCTCTGTTGGAGCGCCGACAAATTAGCCTGCTACTTGCTTATAATTCAAATCCGCCCTTATTCCAAGACTGGCTTCAGTAATTTTGCTTTGGTTTCTGTAAATATCATGGTTTAGTTACGTATCGCACACCAGGATCAGGTGGATTTCCTTTTTGCTCATTTCTTACTTTGACTTTGAGGATGTTTACTTACAGTTAAACAACCGTTAAAAAATTGCAAACAGTTTTAATAAGCTATGAAAGTGTTTAAATTTCTTAGTTAACGTTGTAAAATTGTTCGTTACATCATATAATTAATATCATGTGGAGGAGGGGGAGGAGAAAAAAGTTAAAGATCACTTAACAGAACAACAAAACTTATTTCAAACTTCAGAAAATTTTGCACACCTTTTATTTTTAATATTCGATTTCCTTTGCATTGCGTGTTATATACCAGATTTTGATTAGCTGAAAAATGGCACCACTATGAACCGAGTTTCCTCCCCTCGCCCATCTTAAAAAGTTTCACGGGAGAAGCTCTTATCTTAGTTCAAATCCACCCATTTCATCAGTTCAAAACAATAAATTCTCGAACAATTTTTCAGAGCCTGGACACCTGATAATGAAGCATCGGAGCTTTGAGTTCTCATTTTTAATAAAACACAACAAACAGGCATCGGCAGTGCAACTAGCTTCACAACCGGATCTTTACGAGGAGCCCCAAACACTAAATTATAAATTCAAAGACGATGCTTATACAGCAGGAACTACTACCCGCTCTTTTGTGAGGAAAACAAAAAATTCTTTTTGAAAATGAAAGACGAGATGGTAGGGAAAATTGTGCAGGAAATTGTCGCCCTGAAGCTAAAATTCTACGCCATACTGGACAAGAGTGAGTGGATTGCTTGTTAAGTATAGAGTTTTCTTGTCTAGTTCTCGTTTTTTTTTAATAAAAAAGATTTATTTTTTTAAGCTCTCCAAAAAACACCCGAATACTTTGGTTAGCCAATATAATATTTCAATACTCAATACTGGACAAGGTTGAGTTGATTGTTTTTTGTTTTTGTTTCTTGTCTAGTTCCCGCTTTGAAAGATTTGTTTATAAAGCTCCCGCAAAAAAACACCAGAATGATTTGAGTAACCACTATTAATAATAGCTGTCTTGTTTAGATCTGAATCAAAAAGTTTCAGCAAAAGGAATTACAAAGTTCTCGCAAAGAAAACTATATCATGCCCGAATCAATGAAGGCCTGTTTGATAAAAAGACGCTGCGTTTGAACAATTATACGATAAAAGCGAAAAAACATGAGACACAGACTGTTATAACTAACACAATTGCACTCTCACCTTTCGATGGGAATCGCTTTCTGCTCTTCGATGCAGTCTCAACTCTTCCTTTTGGTCAATTCAAGATTTCCGAAGATAAATGATTCTTTGAGGTTATAGATAACTTTTTAAAGTAAACTGAAAGTGAAATAAGCACTCAATCTTCCTTTTCGTCAATTGAAAAAAGCATGCTCGATTTTGTAATACCGGATCAAGGCTTTAACCAGCCTCAGTACAGTTCCGAAGAATTGAGGCATGTACGTCAAATGATTTTCGAGGACAGCGCGCAAAGAACCCTTTTATAATATCTGAAGCTACTGAAAGTATAACAGTTGAAGAAAGTGACTCTAGTGATATGAATTCGTCCCCGGAAATAGTGTGCAAACGAAGAAAACTTTCAAATAAAAAGCCTGATTACCAATGCTAAACTGTTTGGCTACTTTTAAATTAAGCTGTTTGCATTTTATAAAATTGTTTTTACTGCAAAAATCGCTTATGTGGTTAACTTCTTTCTTTAACAGCTACGCTGAAATGTTTATACTAACGTGATTTAAAAACAATCAGAGGATATTCACTCTAACATTTATATGCCAATTGAAATTTCTACTACTACCTTTTTACTTTATATCACAACAGCATTGTTTTTTTTATAGAATAATCTTTTCTTAACACTTAGGATATGATACATGTGGTTGTATTTTCCTATTTGGAGTGCCCCTGTGGTTTGAAAATTTGTTTGGAGCCCCTATGTGGTTTTGTAATTAGGGCCTGGAGCACCGATAAATTGTGTCTGGAGCGGCTATGTGGTTTTGGGATTAGGCTCTGGAGCAGCCCTGTGTAGGTACCCCCCCCCCCCCCCCCCCTCTGTTGGAGCGCCGACAAATTAGCCTGCTACTTGCTTATAATTCAAATCCGCCCTTATTCCAAGACTGGCTTCAGTAATTTTGCTTTGGTTTCTGTAAATATAATGGTTTAGTTACGTATCGCACACCAGGATCAGGTGGATTTCCTTTTTGCTCATTTCTTACTTTGACTTTGAGGATGTTTACTTACAGTTAAACAACCGTTAAAAAATTGCAAACATTTTTAATAAGCTATGAAAGTGTTTAATTTTCTTAGTTAACGTTGGAAAATTGTTCGTTACATCATATAATTAATATCATGTGGAGGAGGGGGAGGAGAAAAAAGTTAAAGATCACTTAACAGAACAACAAAACTTATTTCAAACTTCAGAAAATTTTGCACACCTTTTATTTTTAATATTCGATTTCCTTTGCATTGCGTGTTATATACCAGATTTTGATTAGCTGAAAAATGGCACCACTATGAACCGAGTTTCCTCCCCTCGCCCATCTTAAAAAGTTTCACGGGAGAAGCTCTTATCTTAGTTCAAATCCACCCATTTCATCAGTTCAAAACAATAAATTCTCGAACAATTTTTCAGAGCCTGGACACCTGATAATGAAGCATCGGAGCTATGAGTTCTCATTTTTAATAAAACACAACGAACAGGCATCGGCAGTGCAACTAGCTTCACAACCGGATCTTTACGAGGAGCCCCAAACACTAAATTATAAATTCAAAGACGATGCTTATACAGCAGGAACTGATATCCATTTCGAATACTTCAAAGTCAAGTCTATATTGTTTCCAAAGTTCAAGGAGAAATCCCATTTTAAACTTCTCTCTAGAGAAGGTCTTTATGACATTCCGACGGAACCATTTCTTAAAAAAGAGAAATTGGTGGATTTCCTTCAAAATATAGGATGTCATTGGTTTGAGTTCATGACCAAGAAAATTGTTGTGCGTCCGGAATATCTAAAAGAATTGATGATTTTGGACTTCAAATTGGCCGTCGAGGATTTCCTACAGAAAAAAACAGCACCAACACATGAAACAATTGAAGAAAGGAGTTTACGTATGCAGAATTACGAGAAACATATTTTCCAGATGCTAGAAATCGATAAAATAGCAAAACTGACTCGAGGAGAACTAATGATCGAAACCAATCCTAAGCTTCGTGTGCAGATTATGTGCGACGAACAGTTCAAAGCTTATGCAGACATAAATTTGAAAAGTGCTAAAGAAAAGAGCCTCTTCGATTGCTTTGGATTGTCCGGAGAAAGTTGCGCACTCGAGAATCAAACCTTGCAAATGATGGCCGAAATAATGATTCTTATGGACAACCAGAAATTAAATCTAGACATGCGAAGATTCCAGGGCGAATTTTACGAGCTGAACGAGGCTTTGTTGCGTGAGAAACTGCTAGACATTCCTCCCGGGCAGGATCTGGAGAGCTGCTGAAACCGATAAAAAAGCAACCGATGTTTCAGCTTTCTTGAGACAGCTGAAACACCCTTCCAGACTGCCAAGAGGGCAGAACCGAAGCATCATTACATTTCTGTGATTGATTATTTTAATAATATTTAACACAACAAGCACCTACTGAAATTTTAATATATAAAGAGCATTACTGACTAATTTGTGGTAAATTTAATCACCATTCAAAAAATATAGAAAATTCAACGTTAACTCTGCAAAAATTTTGGATAGAATCAATTGCGAACAGAATAACCAACATTTTTTTTTTGAGATCTCAATCTAAGTTAAAGTGCTGATACATCTAGATACCTACCTTAAACTTTAACAAAACTTTTCGAAAATTTTCTTGACAAAAGCGTTTGACTAATTTTAAAAATCAAAACTTGCAAAATCGTGTTAGACTTTTGCGATTTTTCCCGTCCGATAAGTCTTGCTGAACGAGCGGAAAGCTAAAATCTGGAACGCATTGAAAAATTTGGTCAAATTGGTTTCTTTTTAAATGGGAATTTGTTTGGAGCATGCAACTATCTGCAAAATTTTGATCAGCTTCTTTTCAAAAGTTGATATAGCCAAAAGCGACAGACAAGCTTACAGATACGTCCATAAAACAGACCGTTTATTGTAAGCGGGTAATATAAAAATTGTCAAACCATGCTCTTCAAGATACACACCGTAATTTGTCAGCGCTCTCCAAAGCATAAAGTAAAACAAGACTGCTCGTATCAGGGCGAGGCCCTGAATGTTCCGACTGCCTCTTAAGGTCTATGGAGCAGTAATAACATGGAAAAATTATTAGAAATAAAACAAAAAGAAAAAAAATATATTTTCCTAAAATTTGAATTTTTTAAATTAAAATCATCCCCCCACACGCCATATAAAGTACAAAAGGATAGATCTCGCTCCTTGTAGCAAATCAATTATGGCAAATAAGCTATTTTCAATGAATTTGGAACAATTTCTAACACGGATTAACTCGCGCGATCTCTAATACAGTTAATAGCGCGAAATATATCGCGCGTTATTTGTCCCAAATTGGCCAAAATGCCAATCTGTAAACCCCCGTAACTTTACAAAAAATGATCACAGGTGAAATATCTTTTCAATTTTGAGCTCAGGACAACAACACAATTCGAATGATATAAGAAAATTCCGTCAAAAATCTACAAATCTCGTACGTACGCAAAACAATAAAAACAATAAAGTTGTACGCAAAACAATAAAAACAATCTACAAATCTCGTAAAATCTCGGAAAGCATGTAATCTCTGTAAAGCCGATTTGTAGTTTGCAGCACAATGTACAAGAAAGGATGTCGCTCATTTATTGGGAGGTTAATTCAAAATGGCACTTAACTAATAAAGAAGTGTTCTCCATGAGTTATATAGTTATTACTGTTGCTGATTTTCTAATGACAAACGTTGGTTGGGAAAAAGAAAAAGATAATGCCCGCTCCTGCAACACTATGAATCCACTAACAGAATGCCCTAATTGAAGCAGGAGCTATATTCGCCGGACAATTTTCCATTGCGGCATTTTTGGCGGTTGTTAGAATAACATATCTCCACGTGATTAATCAAAACAAGACTGCTCGTATCAGGGCAAAGCACTGAAAGTTCCGACTGCCTTTTAACGTTTATGGAGCAATAATAACATAAACAACATAAAAAATTGAATGAAATAAAAATAGAACGAAAAACTTTTCCGAAATTTGAAAACTTTTCTATGAAAATCAACCCCCACACGCCATATAAAGTACAAAACAATAAATTTCGCTCCTGGTAACAGATCAATTATGGCAAATAAGCTTCTTTCAACCAATTTGGAACGATTTCTAAGACGGATAAACTTTCCGCTTACGCGTTAATAGCGCGAATTATATCGCGCGTTAATTGTCCCAAATTGGTCAAAATGGCCAAAATGGCAATCTTTAAACCTTCATAACTTTACGAAAGATAATCACAGGTAAAATATTTTTTCAAATTTAAACTCAAGACAACAATAGCTTTCGAATGATATTAAAAAAATTTGTAAAAAATGGCTAGTTAAAAGGTCGAAGTTTGTCTGAAGAAAAAAAAAACCCCACCCCGATCAAAAATATTCTGTTACTTTCGTATCGAAAGCCGGAACAACAAGGATATCTGGATGCTGTGGAAGTAGCACAGAACTTTTGGATCACATTCGTGAAAAACGACAATTTTTTAATATTCTTCAAACTAGAGAAGTTTCTTATAGGCATAAAAGCAGGCATAAAAAACTATATTTACTAAAGTTTTTCCTAATTTTGCACTGAAAATTTTAAATTTGTCTGAAAATTGTTATTGTTATAGCCAAAAAAGCGCATACCAAAGTTTCAAAGTTGGTGTTTTCTTAGTAAAATCAAGAACTTTTTAGCCTAAATGTCTAAGACTTATCTAAAGCGAATGTTAATCGATCGCTTTACTTGTTCGAAATTGGACTAAAGCTGAAAAAAACTTTGAATCAATTTTTCTCAACATTGGGAAAAACTTCGGGAAATGATTTAATGTTGTTTGAATCCCGACTGAAAGGACTTCAATATGATAATTCAATCGACATGTTTCGATAATTATTTGTGGTAAATGAGTTTGCATGGAAAACAAAAAAACCAAGGATAACCTGTTGCTGTGCAAGTTCCACAGAATACTCTGACCAGAGTTGTACTAAACTACATTAAATTGTTTGTTATCTAATAGTTGTTTTATTCATGCGTAGTGTGATTAAGGATTTTAACAAAAAACTGGAGCTTCGGTGTATGCGACAATCACAGAAAAAAACTGGAAAACATTTTTTTTTCACATAACGAGGCCAAATTGTGCACTGGATAGGCTTACAATTTTGTGCCTGTATGTTCCTGGACTCCAGAGACAATTTTTTAAACATGTTCTAAAATGTAAGTGGGTCCACTGAAAAAAGTTTCGTAGATTCCGCGTATAAATACCTGTAATGTAAATTTTGTCGGCATATTTGTTTTGTTGCGGATTCCGCAACAAGCAAATATAGCTAGTTGTTCTGGGTTCCGCATCTGTAAGTGGAATCAGCAAAATATATGTGGATTCCGCATACAAAATGCGCATTCCTTTTACAATTTGCGGATTCCACTTACAGTTTGCGGATTCCGCTTACAGTTGCGGATTCCGCAACAGCTTAATGTAACTCTACATATGTCTTTTTGTTTGATTGTGGATTCCACAAACGGTTCTTGATTCCGCGAAAACAGTTGCCGATTCCGCAATTGCGCCTAGTTTTGGATTAATTTTGAGCGGATTATTTTTCTAAGTTTTTGTTTCTGGAATCCAAAACAACAGTGAAGATCAAAGAAAAGTAGCAATGATGCGAATTCCGCGACAAATCTGAGTTTGGCCTGTTGCGGAACCCATTTGCAATGCACAGAATTCACAATTTGTCCTCGTAATGCAGCAGTTTTGATTTTTTTGACGTTTTTGTTTCCAAAAGACGATAAAGTAACCCAATAAAACTAACTTTAGTTAAAAAGAAACTAACTTTTTTCCGCTGAAATTAAGCAACCGTAAGTTTTGAAGCTAATAAAATAAACTATTTTAAGCATGCTAGCTCACTCGAAATTAGTGAAAAAATCGAAAGTTTAAAGCCCGTTTTTCTAAACACTGGGAAGGTTTTCTGTAAACTTTTTGATGTCGTTCGAATCATAAATGGTACTTCACTCATCTCTCTCAGATGATTTTTGTGGTGGCTAACTTTGCGTGGCAACAATAAAAAAAATTAAAACGCATCCGAATAAAAAGTTTTTTCTCCATTTTTCAGAGGGTCAGAACAAATAAAACTTGAAGACAGCCGAATAAAACGTTCCTCCTCGTTTTTCAAAAAACTAACAAAAGTGTTTGCAATGCTTTTTTCTCATTACTCAACCTAGGAAACCAGTGATGAAGAAGTATTTGCTTTAAAACCCAGAACTTTCCCTGAAATATGGGGAGTAAAGTTATCAAAGAAGACGCTCAGTGGCATCTATTTAAAAAGGCAGGGAACAAAAAATGTCAGGACTGACGAAGGAGGATAAAGAAATAAATTGATGCTAAAAGACAAGAATTGAGATAGAGGTTGGAATATTTCTAATGAATTTAAGGAAGGAGCTGAAGCATAAATAATGTCCAATCACCGCGAACATTATGAAGAAACAGGTAATTTTTGATTGGCAAGATGATACATCTAAAGTGGGAGAGCCTTTCAACAGCTTTTAAGATTGAAAAGGAGACGAGTGAGGTTGTTGCTGAGAAAAGAGTGTACCAAGAATTGATTATAGCAAGGTTTGATCCGTACTAAGTATTGGATGTCCGTAACAGAGAATAACTTGCACCAATAATGATTTCCTTGGATTTCCTTGGATGATCCAAAGAAGAATGTCCAAAGGTATAAACCGCTGCGAAAGTGTTCACTACAAGCAGCATCGCAAATATCGAAAGAAAATGATTGCTTAAGGACTTTTAAACTTTCACAAGCTTCCATTAACAGAATTTCTTGTGCAACCTATTCAACATAACCTCTCAACTATTCGTACTGTTGAAAGTTCTTGTTCTTGTGCAGTAGCATGTGAATCCCAAAGATCGCGGAAGTTAAATCGTGGCAGTGGTTTTTCCGTCTCACAGAGGATCAGTCTTTGCAATTTGAATCAGTTTTCTTGTTTCCCATATCTTTTTCTCTTGTTTCTTCGCAAATAAGGATGTTTTGTGGCTTCTTTTTAAAAATGTAACTGCCTCTTGCCGACAGCAAAATGTGATCCCTCGTATAACCATTAACGGCTACTAATTAAAAAATCTACTGTCGAGCGGCCCGTCTTCTTTTGTTTCTCCATATATGACACCAAAAAATCAGCGTTTTATGTTTCTCCCAATTCTTTTGTTTTCCCATTGCTATGATTTGTTTTAGTATTATATTCTTTTGACAATCTGTATTGACTAAATACCAGTCAACTTAATGCTTGATTCGACCATCGGTCGAGCCTTTACTAATCAAGTTATTCTGATAACAGAGATTATATTTTAACACAATTCTTTCTTTTTTTTTGTTTTTTTTAGTTGAGTTGTACATAGTTTGTTTAAGCCTGGTTAGAATATTCCAACATTTTCTTATGGCGCATTTCAATCGAATCAACCTTGCGGAGAAATCCTTC